ACACGTCCCTCTGCCATATTTCATTTTCAAACACGTTCCTTGCCACTTCAGAAAACAAAAGACAGCTTCATTTTGTTTACTGGAAGCCTGGTAACCCATTTGACAGATTGTCTCACTTCCCCATGTGTGAAATGTGTTGGAGGAGTTTGACAGAAAAACAGAGCAGACGAAACAGTGGGCTTCAGCATGTCCATTATTTTGAAAGCAGCCTAATGAGAAATTTCAGCAGCTCACTGGGAGGAAAGTTCATTCAACTCAAGACTGAGCTTTAGAGGCCTTTTGGAGCAGCACAATTTCATTTCCTTCAAGTGTAATAAGCGAGGAGAGACAAGGAACCCACTGCTTAGGAGAAGCCCTAAAGGTCAGGATTAATGAAGGGTTGGAAGGTTTGTAGATTGCAGGCCCAGTTGTGTGCTAGTAAGTGGATATTTCAACAGTCCTTAAGGGAGCTTATACATAATTTATTTTCTTAAGTAGGTACATGGTGTTGAAATGTTTGCACTACTAATTGGACCAGAAAACCGTGTCTTCATGGGTATCTGCCATTCCTAACCTTTCCCAGCAAGGGCTCCACGTTGCATTTCCCAGGCTCTGTAAGGTGGGGTGCCCCAACAGGTCATACCGAGCCTAGAGGCTGGCACCCAGGCCAGCTGGAGTTGTCAATCTTTCTTATTCCTGGATGCAGTACCCCGGCAAGGGAAGCTTAGCCGTAATCTCCAACCCCTGGCATGTGCAAACAGAAAGCTTTAGAGGAAGAGCATAGACCCAAGCCCAGGTCTCAGCTCTGCTCCTAAACTAGCTGTGTGACCTGGGGCAGGACACTTCACCTCTCTGAACCTTAGACTCTCCACATGCAAAATGAGACATTTGGGCGGGAAGATTTTTGGCAAAGATGACTTTCACCCTGGAATCTCTACTTACCAGCTCTATGACCTGGTTCAGCCCCTCTGGGCCTCAGTTTCCTTATCTGTAAGACAGGGGTGATAATACCAAACTCATAGGGCTGCTGCAAAAACTAGTGACAACAGATAAAATGTGAATGGTGCTCCAGAGAGGGTAGCAAAGCCAGTCTGTGACATCGGGGCTATTCTTAGACCTACTGGAAGGCAGTGAGACCCTCTCCCCATCCCCACACCCAGGTTTCTTTTATCTAGAACGTGCCAACTGTGGACAATTATATGCCAACAAATTGAATAACCTAGAAGAAATGGACAAGTTTCTAGAAACATATGGCCCACCAAAACCGAATCAAAAAGAAATAGATCATTTGAACAGACCAATCACTAGAAGTGAATAGAATCTGTAGTTTAAAAAAAAAAAAAAAACTCCCTGTAAACAAAAGTCCAGGGCCAGAGGGCTTCACTGGGGAATTCCACCAAACATACAAAGAATAACTTATACCAATCCTTCTCAAACTCTTCCAAAAGACTGAAGAGGAGGGAACACTCCCAGAGTCATTCTATGAAGCCACCATCACCCTGATACCAAAACCAGACAAAGACACTACCAAAACTGAAAATTACAGGCTAGAACGTGCCAGCTTCAGACTGGTGGTGGCTATCCACTCTACCAGTAACTGGGTACAATTCAGCTGTTGGAATCCAAATGTAGATTTTCAAAGTGGATTGTGTGCATCGAAGTATGTCCCCTTCCTACAGAACGCCATGGCCCCAGTGATCTCATTGACTGCCCTGGGCTTTCAGCAACAGGCTTAACATTCTTAAGGAATAAGCAGTTAGTGGCACATGGCAGTTTCCATCCCCTATAACTACTTCAAGATGAGCTTAGTATCGTGGGGACATAAGCAGAGAGGACAGGACTCCTCAACCCCGCCCCCATTCTTCAATTTATGACTGACCTCCCCCGTAACCCAAATAATTTCTCTCTCTTTTGCTGAAAAGGACCTAGTATGGATTCATAACTCGTAAAGATGTCTATTATGTAATCTTCCAAACAAATCCACTTGCATTCTCTCATTTAGGCATTACAACCATGTGGCAAGATTATCTTGCTCAATTTTCAGATGAAGAAACTGGAGTTGGGAAAAGTAAATGCCATGTTCAAGGCCACGGACTTGACAGATAATGAGAAATCTGCTTTGATACCTTCTTGTCTGGCTCAAAATTTCAGTGTTCCTTCCTTGGAACTTCCTTGGTGGTAAAGTCACACCCATGAGTCCCAGCTCTACTACCTACCCCTTCACTAAGTCTCAGTCTTCCCAACTGTAAAATGGGCATGTGATAATAAGATGCCTCCCCATCAGGGTAGTTGAGACCATAATTAGGAATGCTATAACTCCTATGAAAATGCCAAGCAGGGGCCAGCACAGAGTAGAGGCTCAGGAACTGTTAGTTTTCTTCCCTCCAACTTCACGGGGCCATTGAGAAAGCTGAAGCTGCCCACGTGCCATCTCTGAACTGTAACACACGGTACCAGTGTGAGCAATGAAACTGTTGGTCATGGGGCCCATCTTTATCTTAGGCTTCCCCCCACAACCGCCCCATCACTCCTGGAGATCCAGGTTTGAAACATGCACCATTAATTCTTACAAACCGATTCAACTAAGGAAAATTCTAGACTCTTAGCAACCTTGCAAATCCAGCCCTGCCATCCACGACGGGGCTGTCAGCACTTACCGAGAAGCACCTTGGAGAATGGCAGGTCTGAAGAAGCAGCAGGCTCAGCCTAAAAGTCTAGACTTAAATAAATTGTATTTTCTGGCTGGCGGCGATAAGGCGTAAATTGGAAGCGCATGTTACACTTACACGTCATTATGCATCGAAATGGGGAAGGGGAGCGGCATCTTGTCCCAAATTTGTAGCAAAACTGCACTGTGTGTACATAGCTCTCAGGCCTTTGATGTTGAGCAGAGAGGAGAATGATCCTCTCTGAAAAGCCCAGGCAGGAGCGGCTGAGAAGGAGGCCAGCAGGGAAGTGCAGTGAGCATGAACCCGCCTGTCTCTGAGCTCCTTCTCCCGCCCCTGCAAAGGTAAACTGTCTTTCCTCTAATAAATACCTTCATGGAGAAGCAAGCAAAAATGCTTAGGAACACTCCGTTAGGAAGCTGAGAAGGCCAGAGCAGAGAAAGAGAGGGAAGGGGGTGGGACAAGATGTCAGCGTGAGCTCCCGCCAGAACCAGCAAGACTGCCCAGCACCAAAGGGTGCCTCCCAGAGGTGGGCAAGGGGATGGGAGTGGCAACAACTTGGAGCCCATTCATTCATTCATTCCACAGGACACGGCCCCGCCCCCTCCAACAAACAATCGCATGAGTCACCATCTAGTTACGCGCTTTGATGTGTGCTATAAAGGAAAATACTGGGAGTGTGAGGTTATAAAACAAGAAGCAGTAGCAGGGCTTGTACAGTCCCCATAATACTTGCACATAGTAGGAGCTCATGCATATGAATATTGATTGGCTGATGGAAAAAGCAAGGCAGAGAGGAGCAGCGTATGGCTCAGAAACATCCCAATGACAACGTCAACATGCTCAGAAAGATCGCGTGTGTTAGAGTCAGACAGACATGGCTTTGAATCTCAGCTTCTCTACTTAATAGCTGTGTGACCTTAGGCAAGTCGCTTAACCTCTCTGGGCTGTGGTTTCTTCCTCTGCATAATGGGAGGAACAATACCCACCCGTGTTTACTGTTGCACGTGATAGCTGCCGTGGTGAAATAGCCAGGGGCACAGTGAGGAGGGATGTCATATAACTTGGTCCAGGAGCACGGGAAGGCATCTTGCAGGAGGAGATGCATCAGTCCGGTCTTGGAGAACAGAGGCTGCCCAGGCAGAGAACTAGATGTTGTCCAGGCAGAAAGAGGAATGAGAGGAGTTACAGGCGGCGGCAGCAGCAACTAGAAAACCGCGAGTGAACCAGCAGGACACATCCAGAGGTGCTGCAAGTTGTTTGATCTGCTCCACCCACCCACTCACTCACTCGTTCATTCACTCATTCATCCACTTGACATATATTTCTGGAGCACACCCAGGTGCCAGGCCCTGTGCTAGATTCCTCGATGTACATGCAGAGGTAGTCTCTGAACCCACGGAGCTTCTCTTCTAGTGGATTCTCGTGGACTCAGATGGGAAGAGGAGGATAGAGCAGGCAGAGAGCATCATAGAAAATTGGGTGTGGAGGGAGGGCCTGGACCTTACTGTAAGGGGGATGGGCAGTCCTCCTGGTGGATTTTAAGCACAGGCTTAATATAATAGATTTGCATTTCTGAAAGAGTGAGCCGCAGTGAACTTAGAGGATGGGCTTGGAGAAAGTTGTCTGGAATCCGGGAGCCTAGCTGGGAAACTGCCGCCTCCCAGGCAAGAAATGATGGGGGTCCTAAGTTAAAGCAGTGCAGAAGAGAGAAGGCAAAATTCAAGTCGGATGTAGAGACAGTGTTGACGGGCCCTGCCGGCTAATTGCATGTGGGGGTAAGGAAGGGGAGGTGTGGACAGCCGCTCTGAGGGTCTGGCGTGAGCCCCTAGGCAGGTGGCAATGCTGTTCCCCGGGACACGGTGTACCGGAGAACCATCCAGTGGGGCACAGAGGCTGAGGAAGATTTGATCCCACGGGGACATGCCGAGTGTCGGGGATCCATGGGTCCCCCTGAGGCCACGCTTAGCAGGCAGTGGGATCAGTGTGTCTGGAACCCGAGAGAGAGCTTGGGGCTGGAGGCGCAGATTAGAGGGTCAAGAGGATACATATAATGCCGGACACTTGAAAGGCGCGTTACTGCCCAGGGCGGGGGTGTGGTGTACAGAGGGAGAAAAGAGCAGATCCCACTGCAACAAAAGCCAAAGGGTGTCCAGATGTGTTCTTTGATGCCAGAGTCCCACTTGGCCAAAGTCAGGCCATTAGCCAGGGGTGAGGAATCATTGTCGCCAGGAGGGTTGATTGTGACGGGCAGTGGGGACTCTAGCCTGCTGTTGGATTTCTGGGGTCTCCCCAGTCTCTGGAGCCCAGTCTGAAGTCACCCATGTGCTTCTCTCTCTCTCTTCTCTCCTTCAGGTGTTTACAAAATATGGGAAATGTTACATGTTTAACTCAGGCGAGGATGGCAAACCTCTGCTCACAACAGTCAAGGGGGGGACAGGCAACGGGCTGGAGATCATGCTGGACATTCAGCAAGATGAGTACCTGCCCATCTGGGGAGAGACAGGTGAGCTGGGCCAGGGACTGGGGCAGTGGGTGACGGTGGAGGGGTGCGGACTCTGAAAGACGTTTGCCTCGGGTGGGCTGTCTTGGCCCACCTGGTGAAGGACTGCTCTCCATCAGGGGGTTAGTGACATGACAGTCAATGGTAAGGATGTCCCTGGTATGGGCTGCAATGATGCCCTGGGTTACCTTGGATTTCACTAGGTGGGAGGGGTAGATGACGGGACTACTGGCAAGGGAAGGCCGGGAGGAAGGTTGGAATTAACAAGTATGGATGGGGAGGTAGGTGGCTTGGTTTCAGGAGAAGAGGAAGGGGTGAACCAGCTCCTTCCTCTACCACCAGCTTGAATATCCCAGCCCAGCTAGCAGGCCCAAGGGAAAGGAAAGCAGACTCCTCCCACTGAGGGAAGGTGGAGAGGCTGCTGGAGAACTGAAGCGCACAGACCATGGCTGCCCGCGTGTACAGTCCCCAAAGCTTATTTCATGCATCCAATTATGCATTTATTTATTCAGCAAACTATTCATTAGCCACGTATGCTATCTCAGGCTTTGCACAAAAATAAGGACATTAAATTGAAAAAGACCAAGCCCTTGATCACAGCCTAGAGGAGGAGACACAGAATCCACTGGGACGTGAGGGTCCCCCGTGCTGCGGCAGGACTGCGGCCTTCGCCTGGGAGGAGGGAGGGTTCAGGGAAAACATGGGGTACTTGCACGGGGTCTTGAGATTATCCTGGATTATACAGGTGGGTCCTCATAAGAGGGGTGCAGGAAGGTCAGACAGAGAAGGCAACGTGATGACGGAAGCAGAGGTTGGAGTGATGCGGCCAGTAAGCCTAGGGATGCTGACCACCTCTAGAATCTCAGCAGGTGGAGAGAGTAAAAAGGTGCCCAAGCGTGGGACGCTGGATGCCAAGGAGACCCAAAGTGAGATTAACGCTGGGTTCAGGGCAAAACGGGGGGGAAGGGGGAGGGGGTCTAGAGATGGGCCTGGGAGGGACCACAAAGAGGGATGAAGGGAGAGAAGATTCCAGCAGGACAGAGGCTTGGGCCCTCAGGTTGCCGCTGAGGAGAGATTGGAGGCCAAGCAGGCTGGCCCTCACTTCTTGCGGTCCCCACCCCGTGATTCCTGCAGCCGATCCCCCCAGCCCCCATCCTAAGGTCTGGCCCTCACCAGGCCCAGGCCCACCAGGCTTCTGAGGGCAGCGAAGTCCTCCCCCGCCCCGGGACGACTACCCGCAAACCCCGAGCTCTCCCCACTCCACTGCACCGGCCCTCCCGGCGGCTCTTGCCTGAGCATCCCACGGGGGGTTGAGCAGGGCCAGTCATCTCCCATTGTGCTCAGTCCTCCGGCTGCTGCAGCTGAGCGGCAAAAGGGCGCCACGCGACTCGTTCCGGCACCATCTCTGGCAGCTCACCTCAGGCTTCAGGCCCTCCAAGCCCAGTCTGACCCTGGTTGAGCAGACGCTTCGATGATCCCGTCCACTTTCCTGAATTCAGTATCCCTTGGCCCCCCTCCAGCAATGTGGGAGACGGTCCCTCTGGGACCATAATCGTCCTCCCTCCTGGCCTTCCCCTCACCACAGCCCTGCGTGCTAGGAAGGGCCCCTCATCCCCGTTTGCCAGGGAAGGAGGCTGAGGTTCGGTGACTTCACCCAGGCCACCCAGCCAGGCCTCCTGAATCCCCACCTCCAGGCTTCCTCTATGGTACCTTTCTTCAGGCTGATACATCACCATGCAAGAGCATCTCTTGGAGACTCTGGTCACCTTAAAGCTGCTCGTTTCCTGGGCTGGTTGGCGGGGTGAGCCTCACGTGGGTGGGAGTGAGGTCCACACACCTGCCGAAGGATGAGAGGTGGGCTCTGGCCGGTGAGGGATGCTGGTCCACAAGGCCACCTAAGGAGGCACGGCCACATCCTGCCGTTTGCTCATTGCTCCCATGGGCTGGGGGCACGGCCAAGCCTCTCACCGCCACAGTCCTCGGCAGGGAGGAGCCTTCCTGACCTGCCAAGCCGTGTGGCTCCACAGATGCCATCTTGCCTCCTTTACGTTTCCACTTCCTCTCAATCCCCAGGCAAAGGAGCCTGGGTCCTTAGAGGAGGTATTTGGGTGATGATGGAGAAGAAAGAAATTGGAAGTTGGCTGTTGAGGGAGTGGCCTCAGACAACTTGATGACAGAGGCAAAGTAGGAGGACAGGAAAGTGGTTTTACAGAGTCAGACCGAAGATCAAACCCCCAGCCCTGCCTTTATCAGCCGATCAGATGAGAGCTGTCTGCAAACGGTAAACAGTGGAAGGTTGATAACGGCAACCAGTAGATGGGAGGATGGTCAAACCCATCCCAGAGGTAGAGACTATGCCAGATATCTCATACCTACACAAGGGTCCTGGGGCACCTTATCATCTGGATGTCTCATTCTCAAAGCAGAGCCTTTGGCACATTCTTGCTTCACCTCTCAGAAATTTAAGAAAGCAGTGAGGGAGCCACGCCTCCAGGTGTAACTCTGACCTAGAGGATGGACCTTTGGTGCCAAGGAGTGAATTAGGAAGAGGCACCCCCTTTGGTGGACCAACCCTATGGACTCACGCTTAGTGAGTAGAAAGTAACTATGAAATTTACCAAAAGTGTCCTTTCCTCCGGGCTGACAGTGCCTCCTTGGTCAAACATCCTTGTGCAAGGCAGCCTGGAAATATGCCATTTTAAAGAAGGCAGGCTCAGTCACACATAGACCTTGACAGTATGCCCCCAAGTCGGCCCTATGGGCTGTTAGCAGTTTCAGATGTTACGTGTTACAGGAATAGAAAGGATCTGGGGAACCCTGGCTAGGCAAAATTAAACACATTAATTCAGGACAGGAATTCTTTAATACACTATATTATAAATCTCCAAGATAGCATATTGCATACATCATTTATTTCCTCAGTGCTTTTGACTGTGGAAAACCTTCTTTTTCATGGAGGAGCTCACAAAACAGAAAAAGGACAGAAAAGCTGTCCTCGACTACGGAAGTGCAGATTTCATGACCAACGTTTTTCTAAAGGAAATTAAATTGAAGGCGGGTGGGAGGTTGCTAAAAATGAAACTCTGTGTAGATGCCTCTGAGTAACTTCAAAGATAAAAGAAATAAGCAGTGGGTTATCTAGGCTGCAAATGAGAAAAACCAGATTCAAACAAGCCTGGGCATAAAAGGAATTGTATTGCCCGTGGAATCCAAGGCAAACTTCAACAACCCAGCAGCAGGAAGGCAAGGGTGCAGCATCAGAAACAACTGGAACCAAGGGCAGGAGATTCCTCGATCTCTCACCCCTTCTCTCACCTCTCCTCTTTCTAAACTGCTTTGTTCTCTCTCACTAGAGACAGGCTTTTTCCACACATATATCTTTTCACACATGGTTCCCAATAGATGTATATCTTACACGTCCTGCTACCAGCGAGAGACCATTCTGGCTCTCTCACTGATATCCTATTAAAAAAGAACAACAACAACAACAAAAAAAAAAAAAAACAGGGAAGAGACTCATTGGTCCAGCCAGTCAGGTGCCCACCTCTGGACCAGTCAGTGAGCGGGAGTGTGTTCATGGAAGGACATGGGAGCCCTGAGGGATCTGGGTTCCCGAGAATGGCCCTGCTGGGGAAAGAGGGGGCGAGGGTGGGGATGGGTTACATCTGAGAGAACCAGAATTGGTGTGCAGGGAGCCCTCTAATGAGCTTGCATTCTAAATAGACAGGCTCAGATTTTATATCCTTCATTCATCCTGATGTAGAATACACTTTGTAATCAAGTAAACTCCGCCTTGAGGTCCCCAAGTTCTAATATTGTGGGAAAATGAATTTGACATTATATTTTTGAGCAATTATTTTGAGAGTCAGTGCTCTAATAGAGGTCAATGTCTTGCCCCATATTATCTCCCCAGCCTCATCCCCTTTACTCTGTCCCCTTGTTCGCTTGGCAGTAACGACTCTGGCTTCCCTGGAACTCCTTGTACCCTCCAGGAAAGCTTACCTTCAAGTATCTGCATTCTCCTTTCCTTCTGCCTAGAATTCCCTGCTCGGACCCACATGGCTTATTGCTTCACCTCCATCGAGTCTTTGCTCAGACATCACCTACCCTGACTACCCTATTAAAAATTGTACCCCCGCCCCACTCCTTACCCCTCCTTATATGTTCTGCTTGTCCTTTGTTCCATGTCGTGTGTCACCTTCGAGTATACCATCCTCCTCTATTGAAACACATGCTCCAAGAGATAGGGATCTTGGACTGTCTGGCTCACTGACACATACCAGGGCAATAAATATTTTTTGACATATCTGTTGAGAGAGAGAAAAAAATTGCTGTGTTTTGCGCACTGATGGGGCCAGGCTGAGGAAGAAGCTAATATTAATGAGTAGCTACTATGTGCCGTGAACATTCTATCCCATGAATCCTCCAAGTGACCCTGCTAACGAGGTGTTATCCCCACTGAAAAATAAAGAAACTGGAGCCCAGAGAAGCTGAGCTTGTGTGTGTTCCCCTTGGGGAAATCTCCCCAAGAACACACACTTCACTAAGTGGTTGAACCAAAGCTGAAAACCCACGTATGGACCCAAAGGCGATTCTCCTTCCACTATATTCCTTTAATGTTCAAAATGTGATTGTAAAGGCAGTGCCATGAAAATAGCTCAGAAAAAAAAAGTTCCAGTGACATCTTTGGAGACAGAATGGCATATAATGATAGGTCTGTTGCTGTTCTCCTTTTCTATTTTTTCCTCTTTTTTTTTTTTTTCCATAGCAGAATCCTTGTACTGAACAAAAGCTTTAGCACAGCTCCAATATATAAAGCAGATAAAGGTAGAGCTGCTCTGGTCCAGCTGGAGACGGGGCCCCCAGTTTGATTTCTCCATACTCACTGTGGCCGACCCTGAGACATTCCTGGAGGAACCCTAGGACTCCAAGGAACCCAGCTTGAAAACCACTGAATGGGCAACTGATGTTATTGGGAATGAAAAGCACCCATTGGTCCTATG